CTCGTGGGGGAACAGCTCTGTGCTGGCACCCAGGAGGGACCTTGCATGCATCTTCGTTGGCCACCTAGGCAGGACTTGAATGCAGCTGATCTGAATCCTGGCAGAAAGCCTTGGGAGCCTCCTGGAATATGGGAACCTGCGAGGCTTGCGAGGAGCTGCTAAAAGGCTATTTCTCACTCACTTGCTTCTCTGTCCCCTAAGGGGGAATGCAGAGATGGCTTCCCATGGCCAGGTTCTGATGAGGTCTGAGGCTTTCTGTCTCGCCTCCCTTAGGGCACAGCTGGAAGCTCTGAAGCGTAGCTGCAGCTGACACTGGCTTCTGTGCACCAGGGTGTCCTGTCATCGGCGCTGCTGTCACCTGGTCCTTTTTGTTTTGCAGTTGCCCTGCTCAAGGGCCATAGGAAGCTAGCACCCTTGGTTACTTCCTTCCACGGACTATGAAAGTACTCAAATATCTAAATCTAAAAAAGAGCTTCTTTCTTTACAGGCTGAATCTTTCAGTCTTCCTCTGGCCTCGTGGCTTGACACTAGCAATTGATTTTCTACCAAGTGGTCAATAAACTTTCCTGACACACTTTACCGAATAGTTCATTCTTTCCCTATTGATTTTACTGTTGTTTCTTTTTAAAAATTTTCTTATCTGTGAAATTATTTCACATATTTGCATTTGTGTCTGGACTGTGTTTATTTTACCCCAGTCTGTGGTATTTTGGGTTTTTTTGTTTTGTTATTTAATGGAAGTACTGGGGATTGAACCCAGGACCTCGTGCATGCTGAGCGCATACTCTACCACTGAACTATTACCCTCTCCCTTGGATTTTTTATTGTGTTCCATCCCCTCCATCTCTCCATTCTGTTGCCAGCACCATGCTCATTTTTGTATATTTCTAATGCATTGTTTAATTGGTGGGTAAAACCCCTCTCATTATTCCTTGCCAGATTTTTTTCTGGATATTCTTACAGATTTATTTTAATAGGAAATTCTACAGTGATTTGGTCAAAACATTAATTAAAAAAAAACCCAACCTCCTGAAATGTCATAATAATTTCTCTGGGGTAGGGAACTGGTATCTTTACATTATTGCATCCTCCCAACCAGGAATAGGTATTTCTCTCCATTTATTGTCTTTTTCAATACCCCACAATGAACTATCAGAATTTTCTTCAAAGAGATTCTGCATATTTCTTATTAAGTTTATGACTATGTATTTTACATTTTCTATAAGTATCTTGAGTGGGATCACGTTCCATCGTATTTCTTAAATGGGGCTTGCTTGTTGAAGGCTTTAAACAGCGAAATCACAAGTTAGCTGTTCTTCCAGGGATGGTGGGAGGGCGTGGCCTGGTGGGAGGGTGTGGCCTGGCAGGAGGCCCGGAACCCGGTTAGGAATCACAGGTCTGTTGGGCCCGCTGCCCCCTGGGAACATGCTTTGATGCTCTGTGAGCTTTGCCACTCTGTCATCCTACTTTCTCCTCGTCCGCAGCTTTTTCTTCCCTTGTGGCTCCTCTGAGGTAGGCACTTCCAGAGAGTGACTGCCCAGTGCTCATTTAACCCACACTCTGGAAATCGGCTTCTGAGGTCAAGAATTAGACTTTCAAGGAGGTACGAGTATTGAGGAAATTTCGGGATGGAATCAGAACACTTCCCTCTGAAAAAGTCACAAGGTTATTAAAGTCCCCACTCCTTTTCCCCTCCGTCCTCAGACTTCAGTACAGAGACGGCATCTCCCAGGAAGCTGCTTCCAATGAGCCTGGGGCCATTAGGAGACATTTCTCTGCCTGTTTCTCCAAAGGAAGGCCGTTCGAAAATGTGGTGAGATGAAGAGATGACCCTGGAGAGGGAGCCTGGAAGAGGCCTCTCCTGAGAGTGTGAGCACGACTGCTTTCTTCCTCCTCCTGTCCCCTCTCGTACAGCGCCTCTGAGAACGAGGCCAGGTGAGAACAGGACATGTTAGAAAATGAAAATGAGAAACTCTGAAAGGAACTTCTGTATAAAAATTCCAGGAGCTAGGATATGTGTAGGGGGCCCCGGGGAGTGTGATTTAGAGAAAGGTGTGAGTGCTGCGTCCCAGTGACACCAGCACAGACGAAATGGCACCCTGCCTTTATTGAAAGACAGCTCCCAGGCTCGTCCTGTTTCTTCCGTGCTCCTTGGACCTTGGCCCAGAGAAGAGGGGTTTGGGGCCAGTATCCCAGCCCTCAGAGGCTCCAGCTGAGCTCCTCTGCCTTTCACTTGCTCCACCCTCACCCCCAGGAGTGGTTCAAGCCAATTAGTCCTAAGAAGGTGTCTCAGAGATAGGACAGGCCCCCTACTGCTCCCTGCTGCTGGTGCTTCCAAGTACCCAGCAGGAAACTGACCCAGCAGGGCCTACCCCTGGCAGGACTCCCGGGCCTCTGCTTTCTAGGTCCCAGCTCTTCCGCACATGCCTGGTGGGTGCCTATGCCCAGGCCTGCACTGGGTGGGCAGAGGGCAGCCCTTGTTAGATGTCCAGCATGGTGCCAGATCCTGAGGGGAGACCCAGGTATTACCCCTGAGACTGGAGTTACAGCTGTCAAGTCTCAGTTTCTAGATTTTGTCTACCATGTGAGTATCTGAGTATCTCAATCCATGTTGGTACTGGAGGTTGTACTGTCAATGCCTCCCTGTTCTTGTCCACATTTGTACTAGGTAACCTGGTCCCTGCCCACTGCACCAGCTTTGTCTCAGGACACAGAGGCTCTGTTAGCCAGTGGGCCTATAAGATCATGAAGATTCCTTTCCAGGGAAGCCGGGAGCAGAAATGAATGAACAACCTCTAATCTTGCAGGAATCTAGTCTTGCAGAGGAAGTGGGGCACATGCAGAGAGAAGCAGAGTAAGAGCCGAACGGAAGAAGTACGTTTTAACTATTCTTAAGATAAACTTCTGTTGCACTTTGAGTTTCTGTTACTGGGTTTCTAATCCTAGCAACCAAAAACAATCTCTGTCAAGGCCACACCTATCCCCCAACCCAAGCTCTGAGGCGCTAGGGACTTCTTAATTCAGAACCAGACCTTTATGACCGAACAAAACAACAGGCTTTCAAACTTTTAGGCAGCCCTTGCTGTATGCTAGTAGAGGCAGGTAGAAAGGGAGCATGAATGGAATCCCTACTATGTGCCCACCAAGTACTTAACCCTTATATGAATTCCCACCTAACCCCTTACTCATTACTTTCATGACTGTTGTTTCAAAGGTAAGAAATGTCAGAAAGGCTGTTTAAAACAAAGTCAAGAATAGGCTTCTAATAAAGACACTTGAAAGTCTGAATCCTGGCCTTATCCCCTTAAAGATTTATGACTGCTGGTTTTGAAATCTTACAAACTGCTCTTTTCTCGTTTATGGAAAGGGGGAAATAATAACGCCTGCCTTACAGGGAGTGGTGTTGGTTAAACGGATGCAGCACAAGCACACCAGGGAACGTTCACTTTGCCTCAGCAAAAGCCTGGTGACAGCTGGGCGTCACGCCCAGGTCCATCTGGCTGCCATGCCCGGCTCTGGGCACTCGGCACGGGCCCTTGAAGGGATCGGTTCCCTCACTGACCTGTGCAAGATGTTTTGCAAGGAGGGTGTCAGGCATTTTCACTAGGAAGGCTGTTACTGGCTTTATACATCTAGGAGCTGAAATTGGCATTTATGTGTGTGTCCTGAATCTAAGACCAGGAAAAGGGATAAAGAAATCATTGAAATTAGCTTTCCTCTGATTCTTCCTGAACCTATTGGGCTCAAACAAGGAAGGTGAAGGAAGTGGGTTTTGGAGTTAACAGTACACCTAAATCAGGCACCTGGGCATAAAATATGCCTTTCAGACGCTAAGTTTATATTTCTAAGTGCTCTTACTTCTTTCCCTCAAGACTTTAGCCATAATCCCAAGAGCTAGTTTTGCAAATTTAAATGCTTACTTCCATAAGCACATTTTCATGTAGTTTCAAGGCACTCACGTGAGTCCCATGACGTAGTCACATTGACCTACTCAGCCTGAATTTCATTTCCTTAACTTTGAATAGCCCAGTATTTCCTTCCTAAGTGTTGCTATGAACAAAATGGAAAATGAATGTAAAAGCACTCTATAAATTGAGAAGTTGGAAATAAAAATGTTTCAATATTATTTTTTTCAGCATTATTTAAAAAAAAAACACTTGTTAAGGTATTTGAAATTTTGTATAAATAAATAGCTCAGTTGGAAAAAAAAAAGCAGGGTATGAACCTGGTCAAGACCTGGGCTACGTTTGCAGCTCTCCTCCCGACTCAGGTTACATACAACCTGTGTCCAAGCTTCCACTGGAGGTCCTAGAGAAAGGGGTTTAAATAGCCAGTGAAAAATAATGTTACTTTTGCTTTAAAAGCTTTATCTTTAACCTTACCCAGCTCAACATCATTCACAGCTGAGGAATCCTGTGACTGGGTCCCTACCTGTAGAAGGCCCGATTTCAAATTTTCTATCAAAAATGACATCCTTAAAATCACAGGCCAGGTGTAGGAAAACTTTATTTCCCAGCTGTATAGACACCCCCACTTCCCATATACATGTCCTCCAAGATATAAAACGAACAGAATCCTATTTCCAGAAGTTTTATTTCATGTATTGTTTGATGTTAAACTTTCCTAGGCTTTGCACCTAATGTGTGTCAATGTGCAAACTCTACCTCACACAGAGGAACACGGCAGCCGAGTACCTAGAACATGGGTGAATGTCACATGCCTCCTAGGTGTGCTTACAGAGCTCTTGTCCTGGGCCAAGAGAAAAGGAAGGAAGCCCGCAGAAGTGAGAGGTACCCCATGGTCCCTCACACACACACTTGGGGCGCTTCTTGCTTGATGACACTCTTCCATCCCAACATGGTGACTCAAGATGGAATCCCTTTTATCATTTGTCACACTCTTAAAAGACACAGAGAAGACATTATGAATTAACTGACCTTAAATCAATGTTAGAGGAAAGAGGAGAAATTAGTACACAAAGAAATACAATACACAGAAGAAAATATGCAATGTTTCATAAGCTGCATACATTTCAACAAAAAAGCTGCGGACACAGTTTGGTTATTTAGATTATTAAAAATATTTATTACAAGCAGATTCCCTTTCCCATATTCAAAAGAAAACACATGACTGGAAATATTCAGAGATGGAAACTGGGTTAAACCACTTCCCAAGTCCTTATCAAATAAGGTATCAATAAAGAAAAAGATATTTTGGAACTTAGAATTAGGGAAGCCTGCACACAATTTAGATGAGGGGAAAGAGAAAAAACAAACTAACCAAAATAAAGACAGATTGTTTACAATTTACAGCCTTTAATTAAGCACATAAAACTGTACTATTTAATATATTTCTCCATGAACTTTTTGTGAAATTCAGATCGCAGTGTATCATTTACAAATCTTTTGTCTTTCTTCTGATCATCTACACCTTTTGCACAGTTCTTGAAAACAACATCATCATCCCACCTGAAGGAGAGAAAGAAAATAGAAGAGTCTTAAAACGCTTATATCAAGGCAAGAACACTGTGTGAACTGCAAAGCTCAGTCATTACACAGAAAGATGCGCAAAATGTACATCATTTGATGCCACAATTACACCCAAAAGAATAAAGTGTTTCTTAATAGGTTGTTAGCTTGCTTTTTTATAACAGGAAGGGTAATCCCTATCTAGAACCTACACAACAGTCTTATTTCTCCAGGATAAGAAACTTCGGGTTAGGAAGCAGAAATACACCAAGTTTAATTGCATCAGTATTTAATGTCTGCGGGTCTAAGATGAAGAGGCAGCACCTGGTACTACCCTGACTCGTATGAACAGCTCTAGACAATAAAGGGCCAACTGACTGCAGTTCAGCTTACGTGGGTTTAAGGATTTCATACATACTCTTTCATCAGTTAACATCTAGCAGTCATTCACTGCAGTATTTACATTTAGGACAACAAAAGAAGAAGCTATTGCGTGTAACAATTAAGGCTTATATATTGGCCCACATCTATTAACCACGAAGAAAGAGCAGCCGAAGAGCTTAGGGCAGGACTCTGGTTGGAGTCTACTGGTTGGGTTTCATAATGTATAAGCTTAAAAAAAGAAAACCATCCATGGGTGGGCAATAAAATACACGTTTTATAGAAATTACAGATTACTTCAAAATAGCATCTAGCATATAGAAAGAAACCCATGTGTGTCATATACACACCCTCACAAACGTAAGTAAAGTGAAAGCATACATAACGTGTGTTTGTGTGTGGGTGTATGAATGCCAGTAGAAACTACGTGTGGAAAACAAGCCAAGAACGTGGGCATCTTCAAAAACAGTGTTGTAAGCCATCACTGGTGCAGTGCAGACATGTGAAAAGCTGAGCAGAGTGAGGTCAAACGTGACCTGCATATTAAGAGATGTTTCAATCCCCAATTTTATCTGCATCCAAGCGAGGCAGAACAACTGTCTAGTCAATACGAACAGAAATGTACTTTTTTTTTCCCTCTATGCACCCTCTCAACTCACTCCCAAGAGTTTTACCTCTCCTCTTCAACACCAAACGGCTCTTCGCCGGTGCTAACCCCAACGGTCACCTTGAGGAACTCACGTCACTTGCCCTGTCATCAATATCTGACCCAGATAATCACTCCCCTCCTCTTGAAGTGCTTTGTTTGTGTGGCTCCAAGACACTCACTGGCCTTTTTCGGTTCAACCCTTCCTCACTGGCTGCTCTTTCTCAGCCTAGTTTTTTTCATTCAAAGTTCATTTAATCAGTATTTGCTGAGCACCTAGCATGTACCGATTATTGCTACCTACGAATAATATGGTTTTCCTTCCAGGAGTCTCGATTTTGGTATGTGCTTGGCAGAGGTTGCCTTTATGATTAGCCAATAAAAACCTTGGGCACTGAGTGTCTCATGGTTTTTCTGGGCAGAAACACTGCGCACATGGAAAAGAATGTGCTCTGTGTGACCCCTCGGGGTGGGGGGCGGTCAGAACACAAGGAGGCGCACACGTGGAGGCCCTCAGTGCCACTTCCCTGCATGCTCGGGCTGTGGGTCTTCACTGGGCTACTCATGAGAACAACTGTGTGCTGAGTCCTGAGTCCTTCCACTGAGTCTCCCAGTATGGAGGGTGGTCTTGGGGACCCCTTGACACACACACACCTACAGTGTAAGCTTTGTAGGGTCAGAGGCCTGGTGCATTGTTCTGTCTCTAGTATTTAGAGCAGTATCTGGCACATAGCTGGTTATTTTAAGTATATCCTGAAAATAAGTTTCTTTCATTCTCTTTCCAGTATTCCAAAATTTCATAGAGAAGAATATCAGTGGAAAGTGGGAATTAGAAGCTTTACATAATACAGTTTGCTATAAAACTCATACTCTGTATGTATGTATGTGTATATACCCAACTCATTACTGTACCTTCTCTTAACTTTGAAGTTGGCCTGAGGCTGGGATGGGCCAGTGAGGTTAAGGAGAGGGTTTCCACTCAGAATGTTTTCCATTCGAATCCTTTCTTCTTCAGCTTTTTGTTCTTGCTCCTGTCAACGACAGGGGAAGGTTCATACTTACTTACATTAACTCTGGGGTCAGTCTTATTATATAGCTCGTATTTCAAATGACTTAGGATTTTATGAGGGAGATGGGATAAGCATCAAAGTAGCACTGTTTTTTATTTGTTTTTTAAGACACGACAGAAAAGTTCTCACTAATCCAAATAAAATAATCGGGCACTTTCATTATAAATATTTCATGCTTGCCATCATACATTCATAGCCCATTTCTGACTTTGAAATTCTTAAGCTGCGTATTTAAATCTATTTTCTTTTCTTGAAATACATACAAAATTATGTAATTATTTATTTCAAGAATACACCAATAAACATATTCTAATTATTTAAGAATGTATTAAACATGAAAAAGACACATTTACCAGTGATTATCGCAATTTTTAAGAAAGGGTTATACATAACCGTGATTAAAAGCAATTTTACTTTGGATTATTAACAATGTAAACCTGCATCTCTAGGACTGGTGACAAGTTACTGTTAACTAAGAATCACCTCCTAAAATAAGACAAACCATTATGTAAAAGATTATATTCAGTTAACATGCATTTCTACTAATGTACCTGAGGTTTATCCATTTTATTCTTATGATTTATTGTTACTGACCTTCTATTTTATGCCTCTCACCTGTCATTAGTCACATGCTTGTCTTCACTTTTATTTCAGCATTAGTCTCTTTAAACTCAAATTACCCTCAGTTTGATTCTTATAAAATATCTAAAATCATTAGCCATAACTTCTAGATCTACCGATTCCATGCTATCTTAAACCAATGATAAATCCCACTTTGCTGTGTTTTGGGGGTGACAGAAAATTGCTGACTTAATAGATTAAGGAAAAAAAGACTTTCTGAAAGTCCATTTAAAAGCGAACCTGTGTTAGACCACTTGGAAAAATAACCTGATTTTCTACACAGGTTAAAGATACTTCATTTTAATAATCAAATGTGAACAACAGATTTCATTTTTATGGGGCCAAATAATTGGGAGGTGAGAAGATGCAATTTTCAGGGAAATAAACAGGAAAATTCCTTTAGGTCATTTTCATACCTTAAGCAAACAAAAGTCAGGAGCATCCACCATAGACTAAGAACAGACAGTTTCCTAAAAGCTATTTTCAACAAATTATACTGATGCTGAAGGTAAAAAGGTGTATCTCTGAGACGCTAGAAAAACATTGATATCAAGTATACAACGTATCCAAACTTATGACAACGTGTGTGATGAAATAAAGTCCGGGCCTTTTGACGTTTGGAATGCTGTCTCCTTCAGGGTTACTGGCTGGCTGCCACACACAGCACTGGGAGAAAAGGTGCCAGTGCCAGCCTTTCCCATATTCAAGCACCAGGTACACTGTTTCATGAACATGGGTATAAGGGCTAGACAGCCTGCAGATTGGTCAAATCCAAACCATCCTGCCCTGTAAATAAAATTTTATTATTATCCAATCACATGCATTTATTTCGGTATTGCCTACAGCTGCTTGTACTACAATTAGCAGAACTGAATAGATAAGACAGAGGCCATATGGCCTGCAAGCCTGAAATGTTTATTATCTGACCCTTTACAGAAAGTTTCCCAGCCCCTGACACACGCTGACTGGTCTGAAAGTGTTTTGGAACGCCTCAAAGATGGGCCATTAGGAAGCCAGAAAGTGAAACAGGGACGAAAGAAATAAAACTGTCATTCCACTCCAAAAAACACCAATATGTTCTTGTACAAAGAAATCAGATGAACCCTGCAAAATTGCTAAGATCTTCTGTCTAAAATGTTTACGTTCCCTAAAGGTCAACCAAATGCATTTAAATGTCTCTTTGTGAATCCAGGGCTGTTGGCGAGGCCAAGAACCTTGAATAGAACACCTGCCCTCTTGTGGTGTGCAAGCGGTATCAGGAATGGTCTTACAATTCTTTAGGACTTATGCTCTTCTACGCTAAATTTTGATAAGAAATGGTTTTTTAAAAAATATTCTTCTTCTTCCACTCTGAATTCTGGCAGTCTTCAAAGCCTATCACAAGTCCTACTTCTTTTCTGAATTCTTCCCTGACCCTTCTGACCCCCATGAACTCTACCTCCCTAGGTTCCAAGCATTAACCCACCTCAGGCTTTGCATTCTTTTTAATAACAGAACAATTTCTGGCTCAAATGAAATCTTATACAGAAGCCCCTAAAAAGAGCTGCGCTGTTCTGGTTGAAAGTAGAGGCAGACATACGTACTTGAATGTCTCACAGTGCATCAAATTCAGTATGTTCCAAACAGAAATCATCTCTTTTCTCTCCACTGAAACACGCCACGCTTCCGCATTCCCTGAATTAGCGTCTGATACCATCGCCCGGAAACTGCCACATCTAATCACTCACTTTCTCTGGACAATTCTACCTCCTTGATAGGTCTAGCAGCATCTGTTTACTTACTGCCTAACAGGAGTTGGATTTGAGAAAGCTCCTTTATTCCTAAACTCATTACTGCACATGAGAGTTACTGGAACAGCCTCCTAGTCAGTTTTTTCCTTCCACCCACCCTCCACTTCTCGGCCAGAGCAGTCTTTCTAAAATGCATATCCAACCTTACCACCTCCTGCTGAATCCACCAGCTCCAAGTGTCCTTCAGAACAGAGTCCAAACTCCTTCAGCTTTGGTCTACAAACCTCTAGTGCTCAGACCTGGTCTTGCCTCCCAAGTTTTCTCTTTTATTGTTACTACTATGCATAATTCACTAGAAGTTTAAAAGTACCTACTATGGACCCTGTTTACTCCTTCTAACTACCTTTGAGTTAGACTTTCTTTTCTTTCACTGTGTAAGTGCAGAGACTGTGGACTCAGAGAAGCTAGGGAAATTGCCCTCGGTGATACCAAATCTTTTGACAGACAGCCTCAGCAAGTGCCTGGAAACAAGGCTGGGGCAGAAGACAAGGAGAGAGAGAAAGATGGCCTCATTATACCTGGGGGTTCTTTGCAGGTGATGACTACATCTTAATCATCTCTGGTTCTTCTGAAACTTAACGGACCCTGACTAAATGTCTGCTGAACAAATAAGTGAATGAAGAGCAATTTAACAAGTATTATC